GATTTTGGAAAAATTAAGGAAATTGGGGTTAATTATCAATCATTGAAAACCAAAGGACACTAGAGGTCTCATATGTCCGTTGCCCAATCATATATAAACTTAATTCATTTTATCTCGATTGAAGACATAATGAATAAAAATTCTATCCCATCAAAGGTAATTAAACGGACTTGCTAGTGAGACCAACCACTTTAATGTGAAAACAACTTTTAAAAGTGGTCTTTTATTTCATATGTATCTGGAACTTTCCTTTCTTCAATTGGCTGAAAACATAACATATTAAAATGACATGAAATAAATGATTTAATGAATAAACAATCTTCGACCAAGTCTACATTATACTCATTAAATTATCAAACACTTTTTACTATATTTGGAGGGAGGGGGGTCTTGAGGAGAAACAGGAAGAAAGACACATATTTACAGCTGAGAAGGAGAAACTTTGTTTTTGGAGCAATATATTTAGGAAGTGGAATAAATCAAATGTGGATTCTAAAAATTTCGAAAATTTGAAACGTACTGTTGCACAATATACTGTACGTGTACATAAATTGGCGTATTAAAAATTTAGCACAATCAAGGGGTATGGAGTTGTTGGCGTTATCATGAATTAGCGCTATACATGTCCGTGCCGTGTATTGTAGTAGTAAATGATTTCTTAGTGGTATTCATGAATTAGCGCATCGTTGTCAGCGCCAAAGCCGCTAAAATATGAAGAATATATGAAGTGATAAAAAGCAAATGCGGATTCTCAAAAACTTTGAAGAACTTTTTAAAAAAAAAAAATTAAGAAATCACATTATTTTCTATTCCTCCTGATAAATTAAAGACCTGGATTTTTGACATCATGGACAACTGCTTCTTCAATAAAAATGGTAAACGGAAACTTTCTTATTTTGTGGTTGTTCATCCATGAAATTACGTCTTTTAAAATATCACTCTGATTCTATTCACAAGTATATCGTATTTGATATGAAAAAGAAGCTAGAGTTCCTATGACCAGGCCTCAGGATCATGAAGCAGTTTTAGATTTGAATAAAGTCAAAAGTTTTACATGCAATTTGTCTCACTAGAAGTTTTATTATAGAACACACATAAAATTTGAAATGTTATTTAATACTGTCTCCCTTTTATGTTGTTAATTTAGATTCCCAAGTGTTATTTGTAATAAATATTCATTTTCTGGATGACTGAAATTCTCATTAAGTCTAAGACTGCTTCACGATCCTCGGGACAGGTCTTCCAAAAACCTGCTGGAATTCCCATGGATAGGAATTCTGCCCCTTTATTAGCCAACTCGTTTTTTTTTCATTCATATGAAACACATTTTTATTTCAAAAACTTCTACATGGAAAGAAAAAGTCTTTTGGTGTGGCCTTCAATTAAAAATTGAGATATATCGACGATGTCTCGTCATTGTCATCTCTCTCGAGAGATGACATATTAAGTTTGTAACCCCGGATATGAAGCCCCAGTGTAAGCTGCCATTGATAAGCTGGTGGTCTGGCAAATGACACGATTTCTAAATATAGATATGTATACAAAACTGCTCAATGACAAAGAATGGGCGATCTGTCAAACAGGCCATCTTAAAAAAGAAGAACTACACATAAATCATAGGGAGTAACAGAGACAATATTGCTTGGGTAGTGGTGGGTCTTCAAAATACATGCAGTTATCTAATCATGGTCAGCGCGTGTGTATCAGAATGCACTAAACATGGCATCGATTAGAACGGCCAAGGCGTGGATCAAAGTATTTACAGAAAAAACAAAGTGGCGGGTCTTCAAATAACATGCAGTTATCTAGGCTGTTACGTAAATGATGACCAGTGCGTGTGTATCAAAGTACACTTTACCTGGCATCGATTAGATCAGCCAAGGCGTGAATCTAAGAATTTACAGAAAAACAAAATCAAAGTAAATACTCGCATTAAACACATGTTAAAAGTTTTAAATACGACTGATGTGAATTGATGTCGAAAATTTTACCTTTATGTGTATGTTAGTCATTTAATAACCTGATGCCATTTTTAAAATATTTTTTTAAAACAAATAGTTAATGTTAAAACTACAGGCATTGGAAGAAAGATTATATAATCATTGTGAATTTTTACGCATGTCTGCACTATTCTTTTTTTTTTTTGTTCTATAAAAAATAAATGTCAGAAATACAATATTGTTACCTCTGTATAAAAGACGCAATTTCTTTACCCGAGGTGTATTTTGAGAATTTATAATTAAAGCATCTGCAATCATTTTCTTTGTGTAATTTTAAATTGCATTATTGGTTAGTGGCAAAAAAGCTATCAAATCACTTCTCTTATTCTTGAAATATTATTATATAAAATGATTGTTTCCTTGAACAGCCTAAATATCAGGGTTGGTAAATTGGTACTCTTTCCGATAATTTGTAAATGCCTAATTTTAGCTTATACCGTGTAAATTTTATTACTGACCTATATTTAAATGCATGTGAGGGTTATTTCTTTGGAGAAACCATATATTTAAAAGTGGAAAATCTTTCGAAATCAACTGAGGGCCGGTGTCGTATAGTGAGACTTCCCCATAGTGAGATTTCCCCCTGAAGACTGGCTATATAGTGAGATATACCCCGATAAGACTGGCTATATAGTGAGACTTCCTTCCGGAAGATCGACTGACAATAGAGTGAGACTTCTCCGGGGAAGTCTCACTAATTAGCCAGTCTCCCCCCCCCCCTTTCATGGTGAGACTTCCCCTGAAATGTAGTTTCCGGAATATTTTATTTCATTGTAAAACAATATTTTTCAGTATATGAATAAAAGTTCTCCGTTTATTAATAATTAAAACATCTTAATAGCCTTTTAACAGATTGTTAGCCAAAAATAATTATGGGATGACATGTACATGTATATTGATGCGAGATAACTGAATGAAAAATGTACGTTATTGTTTCAAGTATACATCTTTCTTTACTATATTGTATTTATTGCGTTCCCCATGAAGGTTAACATAAGCAAATTCCAAGAGTCCACGAGTAATGATCTATTAAATGTTAAATGTGTTTCTTTTTATAAGAATTATTTTGGAACAATTCAATTATTTACTGTGCACGATAAATTTTTAATACGCACTTCTATATTTATTCATACATGTATCTATTTTATAAGATCATTATCAAAATGCAAATATATATACATCGTCGATGTAAATAAAATACTAATGAACATGGAAGGGGGAAGCTTCACTATGGTCGTTTAAGGGGGAAGACTCACTATATAGTAATTCTCCCCCACCGGGGAGTCTTACCGCTATATATAGCCATATTTCCGGGGGGAAGTCTCACTATGGGGGTGGGAGTCTCACTATATGACACCGGACTAATTCAAGTTAGCGCTTTAAACTTCTTGGCTGTTGTCCGAGTAAGCTGCTGTGATTTAAAGTCAAAAGGAACGCTAAGGTTTTACCCATCCATTTTTTAAACACATATACAAAAAATATTTGAAATTACTGTTGCAAATGTTTACTGAAAGGCAGTTGGCCTCTATCTTCCCCACATTTTTTTGTTGCAGCATATTCATACTCCCCCCCCCCCCCAATGTGTTTTCGAGAGAGTCAAAAAGTTTAAATCTTCCCTCCCATCCACGAAATAAGAATTTCGAGTTTGAACACCCCCTTTTTTCCTAGTGAAAGATTATTCAGGTAAGTTGTAATTTTTTTTCTGACTATACCCCCCTCCCCTTTTTTGAAAAAAAGTTCTTCTGCTTGTAATCGCTGAGGAAAAAAATGTTACATTCCACTGTTTATTCTGTGCCCCCCCCCCCTTTTGAAAAAAAGTTCTTCTGTCTGTAATAGCTGAGGAAAAAATGTTACATTCCACTGTTTATTCTGTGACATTAATGAAGCCAAAGAGATGACATTTCAGGCTTTCTGGAAAGCCAAACTTGTTAAAAATATTATTTTCATTCATATGTAAACTCAGTATATATCAGTAAACTCGAAACAAAAGACACCACAGAGTCTGCAATATTATTTTGTTTCCTATATGGATGATTAACGTTAATGGAAAACTAACAATTACACTATACGACAAACGGGATGACTTCAGCTTCTCTTTGTCAACGTACCATACTTACGTAGCAACATTTCATTTCCACCGGCGTAGTGTCTATGTTTCCCAACTGATTCAGTGTGGAAAAGCGTGTTTTGTGTACAATTTTGTAAGTCGATTGCTGACAACGTTCGTGTTTCAAGGCTTTTAAAAACCTCGTTCAAAGGCAACATTTAACAAATCTATGGCCGCTTGAATGACCTTGTTTGCAAATACAGCCTAACACTGGGTCTTCTATTCGTCATGTTTCATACAAACTGTTGGGCCATTCTTTTTATATTCATTTTTTAGCACGGAAACTCCGTTTACCTTATCAATACAGATGGCTCAAGGTGGGTGTGAGCGGTCGACAGAGAATGCTTACTCCTCTAAGCACGTGATCTAAAACTCTGGTGTGTCCAGTGTCCCCTTCTTGATTCGTATTGTTTTTACGATTTATGTGATTGATTACTAGTACTGTTCGTTGTTTTCAATTTTTACGGTTTTAGACGGGGGAAAAAATAACCTGTCTTTTAGTGACCTAATATGTCGTGTTTGTGCGTAGAAAATTACGTGTTTTTCATAAATGGTAGTTTTTAAACCATTTAATAAGACTTTATGAAATTAAGAATTAAAACCTTAGTTTTGTGATACATGCAGTTTGTCTTAATTATGGCCAACAATTGTTTGTTATCTTTTAGCGAAGTTACAAGCAAATGAATATCTCATCGCAGTACAATTATACACTTAACTCGACACTCATTTGGTTCCTCCAATTAAGCTTTCTCTAGGTCTCCAACAACAACAACAACACAAAAATGAAAATTAAAAAAAAAAAAAAAAATAAAAAAAAAAAAAAACACATATAAGGTCACTTAAAGACAGATAAATTAATGATTTAAAAAAACGATTTTTTTTTAAAAATAAAGGTGGTATGGACTTCGGATCCATCTTGAATAATGCACTCGGTTTTGCTGAAGCACTTGGAACATCCGGCTCTGGAGAGGTGAGAACAAATACGTACATCCATAAATAATTAAGTTTACTGAGTCTTATGTATTTTTATGCCTGTTACCAGTGAATGATCTGTTTATATTTTAATGGGTAATGGGTAATGGTCACGTCACTTTTGTTTAATAAATTATAAATTTTTAGGTCACCTGAGTCACTCAGGTGACCTATTGCTATCTCTTTTCGTCCGTCGTCGTGCGTCGTCCGTCGTTCGTCGGTCGTAAACTTTTGAACATTTTCAGCTTATTCTCTGGAACCAGCAGACCAATTTCAACCAATTTTGGCATATAGCATCTATGGGTAAAGGGGAACAAAAATTGTGAAATTCGTGGCCCCTGCCCCCCTGGGGCCTGAGGGGTGGGGCCAAAACCATCAAAATTAATGCAATCTTTAAAAATCTTCTTCTTTACTCCTGGACATCAAGCAGTCAAACTGTTAGCATGATTGTAATAAGCATTGAGCCATCTACCAAAATTTTGAAATTCATGGCCCCAGGGTCAGGGGTTCTGGTGCTAGGGCGGGGCTATATAGATCATATAATGAAAGTGCATTATTTCTTTGAAAATCTTCTTCTCTACTCCTGGGTATTATTTAAACAAATTAAATACATAGTTATGATAAGCAAGGGTGACTCTACCGAAATTGTGAAATTCATAGCCCCAGGGTCAGGGGTTCTGGTGCTAGGGCGGGGCTATGTATAGATCAGGCTAAATAGATCATATAGTGAAAGTGCATTCTTTCTTTGAAAATCTTCTTCTCTTCTCCTGAGTATTATTTAAACAAATACATGTTATGATAAGCAAGGATGCCTCTTCCAAGATTGTGAATTTCATGACCCCTGGATCAGAGGTTCTGATATTAGGGTGGGGCTCTATTTATTATATAGTGAAAATACATTAATGCTTTAAAAATCTTCTCTGCACCTGGGCATATCAGAGGCAAAAAGAGTAAAAGTTTTAATAAGGAAGGGTATTTTTACCAGATTTTTGAACATCAGAATCATTTGGTCAAGTGTTCTGGTTCATGCCAGGGCTCTATTAATTTGTATTCTACTGAGAGGAGTTATTCCCCTTTGCCATTTACTTGTGATAATTAATCACTGTAAATAATGTACTTGAAAGGTTAATAGAATAAGAGAATTATGCAAGAATTTGTATTGTATAATACAAAAAGTACTTTCATGGTTATAATGATCAGGTAGACTTGTAAGTAACAGAAAAATAAAAATGAGACAAAAATAACTTCTCTTATTAAATGTTCATCAAAGACCAAGAGAGGCCAATGTAAGAGATTTCAACAAGGAATTTAAAGAGTACAGAAGCATTGATTATAAGTTTGTTTATATACTGTTTGGTGAGAGTGATAAATGGGGAACAGATTAGAACCTAATTTATGTACAGTAACTGTAAGTAATGAACACTAGACTAATTATTTTGTTGATCCAGATCACCCTATTTTTCTTGCTTTTGGGCAACAAAGCTTCACCTTTCAGTTCATTTTATACTCTATGGATCCTATAAATTGTTGTATTATACTCAGGTGACCGTTAAGGCCCTTGGGCCTCTTGTTTTAATAATTATCCTGTTTTGTCTGTATACAAGTTCAACTTCATCTCACTCACAAAATCCTCAACAATAGATCCCCCAAAACAAAATCTTAATACTTTAGTAGAAGCAAAATGCACCAATTAATCTTCAGGAAAATCACACACAGGAACACCCCCCCCCCCCTCTTCCCCAAAAAGAGATAAAAATAAAGTTAACGTTCGCAAGCCTTTTTTTTTTTTTAAAAGAATTATATTCATTTAATGAGCTTGATAACTTTTCTATAACACTTTCAAGGGCCATATGTAGATAAAATATAAATGTGTATTTTTCATCATTGATTCTTGCTACAATACCTATTGTAACAGTCACATTTATACTGCTTACAAATATGGTCTTTGGGAAGTGTTTTCTGATTACGTAATTATTGCTTCAAGGGCAAATAGTAGTAATGAAAGTTCTGCTGCATTTGAAATGATCTAAAGTGATGATAAGAACTTTGTTTGTTAATTGTTTCTTTCAGGTAGATCGAGGTAGAGGTTGCACTATCCACTGGAAATTTAATGGAAAAATCAGTGGATTGAAATGGAAATATGCTGGAAAATGTTCCGATTCCTGCACGGGGTTGTCAGCTAAGTCCACAACTCACAGCAGGGATGGGGCAATTGAACATTGCCTCCGAGATTTGTTCGACAGACTGTCGGCTAGGAACGAATTATAAGTGAAATTTTCTTGTGTTTTACATCTAAACAATACAAAACTTGAATACTGTTTTAGAAGTTAATCATATTGTTTTTGTACTGAACTAATCTGAAGTTAATATATATTTTAATGTTATGTTAACAGGTAAACTCAATTGTTATATGGCAAAAACATATAGAGATGATATTCTTTTCAAATGAAGAAATTCTATGAAAGATTTCATCAGCATGAAAATACATGGTCCTATACTGTAAAATCACATATGTTCGTGGGGTCATATTTTCGGGTTTCCTCTGAAGATTACGTCCAATTGATACATTTGTATGTACATATTTTATGAAGTTATAGCTTCTTTAAATCTTCAGAATATTTTTACTATAATTGTAATATGTAAAATCTCTTCACAGACTCTTTATGTTGTTGGTTGATGACATATGATAGGGCTGCTTATTTGAAAATTTATTGATGACAATTACTCACTTAAAATTCAATGATATCAACAATATGGATTTTTTTTCATTATTGTTTTGTCTTTAAAAACAAGAATTGTGTAAATTCTGCTTTTTAACGTGTCATTGTGATTCTATTTTCAAATAAAACGAACTGAATAAATTCCACAACTGTTTTTCTTTAGATAAATTTATACACTTAACAGATGAAATAGGTAAAAATAACGAACAGTAATGGATCTCAAAAAACCTACATTAAATATAAATCTTAGAACGGAGGGGGGGGGGGGGGTGTCATAAAACAATTCCAGAGGTGGGATCAAGCATCTCCAGTTGACCGGTTATCCGCCCCGTGAGCCTTGTGTATTGATCAGGTAGACAAAATAATTCATAGCCAAATTTAGTATAAAAAACAAAGGCTACGACATTGGTATGAAATATGTCAGTCAAAATATGCCCCAATGATAGGTTGAATTTACAAAATACTTACTTTTAACGAGTTTGTTGAAATTCCTTAACATCAACTTATTTGCCAGTAGCCTGCCTCGGGTTTTAAAAAAATGATCGTACTCAGAGCATGCTCGTGAGTATCGAATAAATTTGGAGACATAAGCTATATGCTGGTGATAGTGGAATATTAATACATTAATAAAGAAAGTTGACGATGGAAAATATAGTTATCTCGTTTGTCATACAGTTATGTTGTTAGTTGACTCTTATCGCTTTTAGTCAGTGAAACATCCATATATAAAGAGATATGGCAGACTTTTTGGTGTCTTTTCTTTAAAAAAAAAAAGCCTGACTCGAAGAACTTAACTGTCTAAAAGACGTACGCTTTCTCTTATCATTTGCTTAAACTAAAACCTAGTCTCAGATTAAGATTTAACGATATTTTTTCTAAAATGCAAAATGATCTCTTTAACTGCCATTTTTTAAACCTTAAAAGTATACCTTGTAATTGTGTATGAGGCGATTAAACCACAAGTTCCCTCTTTTGAAATTATAGAAGATTTTTTTTCTATAAATGCATTGCAAGTCAAGTATTTCAGCTTTGAGAGTTTCTGAAGGTATGGCCTGATACTTTTCGACAAGCCTTATTCCATATCAATCACGCCATAGCTAGATCGAAAAGGATTATTTTCTGTAAAAGCATATTACCTGGGTGATAAATATTGTTCTATTTACAGCTGGAGTGGATGTAGGAACCATAGTGAACACAGTATTAGGACTTGCTAAAGCTTCTGGGACAGAGAACTCTGGAAAAGTATGTAAAAATGACAAGCTATGTTGTCTGCACATCTTGTTAAATAGGAAGCATAATATTTCATGATGTTGACAACAATGACATTATTCCATGTACATGCATATTTATAAGTAATTTACTCATATTCTGATTAAAGATTTGTTGAATGCAATTTAATTGACTTTCTCATTATGACATATTAGCTTGAGATGTTAGAAATGTAGCCTTCACTTTTCATGTAACTCCGAGAGAACCCCCCCCCCCCCCCCCCCCGAGAATTTATATAAACCAACCACTGTACAGTATAAAAAAGGAATATAAATTTATGTCTCTTGAAGGACTCTCTTTTATATTCATAGCAATTAGGTACAGCAAACCTTAAGGCAGAATTAACGAAAATAGCCAGTACCATGCGCATTGAAAATGATTAAAAATTCTAAAAACCAAAAAGCTACTATTCTAATTATCTTGATTTAGAAAATAATACTAAATAACAATCCGTCTGAGTTTAGAACATGTTGATATACATGTATGAACGAATCATGTTCTGAATTAATTCACAATGCTTTCGAATACGTGCTTGAAGAAACAAAACCTCGCGAAAGATATTATAACAATGTCAAAAGATTTAGCAAAACCAACATCATAGTCATAAAACAGTATCAGATAAATACTTTTTGCTTGAAATGACAGTTCATGAAAAACGGGATTCTCTTACATAAAATGCTATTTATTCTTCAAATCCAATTAGAAGAAAAAAAACTTGTTGCATATGCAAATAGCCTATACTACATAAAGTATTTCTGTATTTCCATAATAAAAGTATTCATATTTTGTTCTGATATTACATGAAAATGTAGACATTGACTCGGCTTCACGTTACATATACCTGTCTCCTATTTCAGGTAGAACGAGGCAGGGGTTGCACTGTAAATTGGAGCTTTAAAGGACAAATGATGGGATTTCAGTGGAAGTATATCGGTGTATGTGTGGATTCATGCACAGGACAGTCAGCTACGTCCGTTACACATAGTAGAGACGGTGCAATTGAGCACTGTCTCAGAGATTTGTTCCAGAAGTTGTCCTCTAAGAATGAACTGTAATTTTCTGTCATATGGACACCTCCTCTTAAGATACATATTCTATTAAAACATGAAACATTTTTGCACAACTTTTATATCTAATACACACGCCAAAAGTATTTTAACATGTTACATCATTTATTTTGTCATATAACTTTTAATATTTCATTCCTAGAGTTAAAAAAGGTGTTCTTCTGCTTAATTAAGCGCCTCGGATTTTCGGAATGAGCATATACATATACCGTGGAATCTAGAATTTTCATATTTTGTTGTTTTCATGGTGTGAAGAAACCCACAAATTTTTGTCCTTTCAAAAAAAAAAAAAAAAAAAAAAAAAAAAAAAAAAAAAAAAAGTAAAAAATTCAAACTACAGTATCATCGTCATTTTTTAATACCCCACAAACCAATATGAAAAAGGTGAAGATAACGAACAGTGATGGATTTAAAAAATCTACAAACAATACAAATCTGTGAACAGGGCATAAAACAGGGTCCCCCGGAAATTCCAGAGATGGGATCAGATGCCTAGTAGGAGTAAGCATCCCCTGTTGACCGGTCACACCCGCCGTGAGCCCTATATATTGATCAGGTAGATGGAAAATTCCGTAGATAAATTTTGTGTAAAAACAAAGGGCTAACAATTCGTATGAGAAACGTCAGCCAAAATACGACCCAACAATAGGTTTTAATATACCTTCATTGAGAAATATATTTTGTTACAATGTCAAGAAATGCAGAGTCGGCTCTCCTTTACAGTGAGATTCTGCCCCAGATTTTCATTGTACTCAAGAACAGTAATTGTCAGTTATAATATTACATGTTATTATCAAATTCAAAGTCACGAAAGTGTTTTAATCAGTAAATCGGTGATGCAGAAACACGACTTGCAAGCTTAAGCGTCAACGTAAACAGTTTCACTAGCGAATCCCGATCCCGATCAAGGAACGAACTCTGCGACATCGAGTATCATACACTCATTGCATATACATGTATCTTCCCAAGAGGGTTTCTTAAACAAGGGCTGTCTGGAAAAATATTATAAATGACCTTTTTAAAATAAATTTTACTTCCTTTTTTGTAATCCCATTCCAGTAAAGATCAATATTAGGAAACGGTCGACAAATCTTTACAATTTTAGAGAGAAAAAAAATCTTATATCGGGTATAAAAACAATTCATTACCTTTTTTATTTCAAGTTAACTGGGATATATCGAGTCGACATATGAATGAAAGGAACCATTGTTAATTGATAAAACGTCGTCGATATATCTGAAAGTAGAGTTGATGGCCACGTCAAGCAAGGTTTATTTTTTCTTCTCAGGTAGAAGTATTGAATAAAGTCTGCTTAGGAATATAAAAACACGTCGGCTAATAAAGGAATTCCACAGTGTTTTGGAAGACCTGGACTCCGAAGACTACATAAATGTTGTCAATGAGGAACTTCAGCATCCTTTTAATGTCAGCTTAAGAGTACTTGTGTGTACAATCAGAGGGATTTTTTTCTCAAAACACGCAAAGGAGAGGTTTTGATAAGGCTGTTTTCAGCCCCTCAAGAAATATTATGACATTTTTATATGTTGTAAATAAACTTATTATCTACCAAAGAATATGAAAATAATTTAAATGGCGCATTTCCTGGTCACTTAATAAAAATGTAAGTATACCCCCTTCCCTTTATTTTTGGAGTAGACATTTCTAAAAGCAGATTATGAAGGATGATGTTAATAATATTAATCACAGTCAAAATATTTTTATCATGTTATGTAATAATATCCCCAAATGATGAAAAAAGCCTAAAATATTTAATTTGAGTGTCTTCCTTTATTTATGAGAGTTAGAAATATTAGCCTATATACAGATCTGCATTATGTTCTCATCACAACTTAATAAACTTTCCCAGCCAGGACTTATTCCTTCCTGCTTCCATTGAAACTCTTATTGCTTCAACAGCTCTATTCAATTCTCATTTAGAGAGTTTTGCTAGACTACATGTATATCAGCAGTTCAAGATACGTTTAAACGCCAAAGATATGTGTTGGATCCTAAATACCACAAAAAATATTCACTTCAACATCCAGACTTAAACAATATATGCTCCTTCTATCACCCACAAAGAGATATACTACCAGTACATGTTTAAGGGCGCCTTTCTATATAGCAAGTTGGAGTGAGTAATTATAATAATGCATAATTATACAACTAGAGTTAACGGTATGATCTTACTCCAAAACTTACTTTTCCCCGTTAAATCATCCCAATCAGCATCTGAAGTTCTGAACCAAGTCTGGTAGTGTGCAACCCTAGATTTATCATCTGAGCAGGTTTATGGCTTATATTACAAAATCTTCAACCTGATCTTCAAAAATCTTCTACCTGATCACTCATCCAGAAAATGTAGGGCAGATATAGCATCTGTAGAGAGTCTGGTAATGTGAATCCCTAGATGCATCATCCAAGTTTGGTCTACAAGGGCTTATAGTTACTTTGCCCTACACTTTAATCTGCTCTAAAAAAAGTACATATATACCTGGACATTGCTTGGCTGAAAATGCAGCATCTGAAGCCTGACTGGTGACAATAAAATATATTGGATGCAGGCGACTCTGATTAATATAGAGCATAAACGTACTTGGAAATCCGCATAGAAAAATTTTAACCTGGGATGTCGATGCCGACACCGACGCCCTATTCATAAGGGCGCCCTCAACTTCGTTGAGATGAGCTAAAAATTTGATGTTAACGTTAAACACTGGTGATGAATTAAATATCGAAATGAAGATTGGATACGTTAAGTTTTGTTTTGTTAATATTTTCCAAAATTCTCTTTAATTTTTTAAAAAAACGATATCTTTTGATACCTATAGTCTTTTCAATTTTTTTATACATCAACTCGCTGCAGAATCATATGATTGGTTGGGAGGTATATAGACCCAAAATATGCATGAAAATTAGTGCCACAACTCGCGTCTTACTGTATCGGAGATACAGGGCAGGGTCTTTCTCGAGCTCTCGCTCTCGCCTAAAGCCGCCCTGTATCTCAATAAAGTAGGAAACTCGTACTCTAACTTGATACATATTAGGGTCTCATCCTATGCCATTGGGCGATGATTATCTACACTTTGTCAGAAAATTTATAAATGAATTTCATCTTTTCTGGCCCACTGTTTTTTAAAGAAGATTCTTAAAGATTTTTTTCCGATTTATTTGCATTTCAAAATTTTATACCCTATTGTCACCATTCCCTACATTAAAAGTCAATGGTTTTAACATTATGTCAGAAAGCTTTTACATAAAGGTTTTATCCTTTCTGGCTTAGTGATCTTAAAACAAGAAATTTCAGAACAACTTATCCCAAATTTGCCATTTCTTCATGATCACCTCTTGGAAGGGGATTGTTCTTTAAATAATTGCATAATTCTGAACTCTCTTTAACCAAGAATTCTCTGTTCCAAGCTAAGTTTCAATTGATTGGTCCAATGGTTTTAGAGGAAAGGTTAACACTGCGTAAAGTTTATCGACGGACGGACAGACAAACAGAATCCGGACAATAGAAGAACAGAAAAAAGCTCAAAAGTCATATTTAAAAAAAAACAAAACAACTTTACGTATGCACTGGATTAACAGTATCTACAGTCTCAAAAGCTTAATGACTACTAATATTGTGCTCTCGTTATTGAAAAAAGCTTATATCACTACCCCCCCTCCCCTCCCCCAACGCCTACTACTCCTCCCTTCCTTTCTTCTCCCTTTTTTGATCTATGGTGTCTGATAATCTTATTTATTGTCCTTTTATTTACATTAGAGATGATGTCTTTAGAATACTAAATTCACATCCTAATGAACTACAACCGATAAGTAAGGTAATACATGTACATGTTTTTATCTAAGTCAGTTGACACTTGACACTAAGTACTGTCATGTTGTAAATTTTGAATTTACTTTTGGCATAAACGAAGGAAATAAACCAAAGACAATCTGTTAATTTCTGTGTGTTCAAATGTAATAAATGTGCTCCAATGTGATAGGTGTCTATCAGAAAAATATTTCCTGAACTTCTTAAAAATAAAACCATTTAAATCAAAACATCTTGCTTGGAATGTGTGAGTGTAAAATGTATCGATTCAAAGTAGGTTGGTGACGCGGAGGGTACATTTCACATATTTTAACCAGCGATAATATGTACCTATATGTACATGTACCATCATTGAACATATTGTCGTCCATCGCCACCTATTGATACATTACATATACACTGTTTGTGCCGAGATTAGCCCCCCCCCCCCCTCCCCCCCGCGAAGATTGGTGACAAAGTTTCAAACCTTGTCATATTAAGCCACGAACTGGTCTATTTCCATCCACTCCCGCAATTAATGCAACATGTCGAAATTAATCCACGTATCTTTCATATTTTTTTTTGTTCAAATTAATGTTAATATCTAGGATATGCATAGATATAAGAATCTTAAAATACATGTGACTAAATAGGCTAAGCACATTTCATTTAACATTTGTTATCAAATAAACATCGAGAGGGAAAAAATAAAGACAATTTTACTCATCATCAATCCCTTTTACATGTAACTGATAAACTGACAGGTACACTCGAGTCCCTTCAGAAAAATCCGTTTTATAATACTGTCCTTTGTATGAGATTTTTTGAAAGCAAATTGAAAGTAGTTTATGCTAAAATGCTTATTTCCCATGTTAGTTTAGCAAAAATGAAAGTAAATATATAAGCTATGTAGTAAAATCACAGGGATTTTTTGTATGAGTAATGGTCAAATACAAAGGGTTATAGCATCGTTGCAAGCCACTGGTTTTCATATCTTTTTCCTAAAAACTATTTTGCAAAAATAAAAAAAAAAAAAATATATAAAGGATATATTTGTAAACTTGTGGCTTGCGAGGATGAGTGCATGAGTACTTCCTCTGGCACACGTTTTTCTCCGACAAATAACGCGATGACTTCAGTCTAAGTGCTTGTGTCAGTGTTTAATAATACCGGTAAAATTTTTATGAGAATAACTTGTGTTCTCATCATTAATGTTCGTGTTTTGTTTTCAAGGAAGTTAAATAAATGAATATACCAGTATATGTATATACAGAACTACATGTGTCTATCTATAAAATGCATTGATTAGTAAATTTTTGCAAATGTTGTATATCTTAAAACTTCATGTTAAACTGTGTCAATTTAAATTTGTAATATACATGTAGGAAGAGGGCGTAATAAGATTTCAGAACTTGTGCCCAATCCCAAAATTCGTAATTATAATTTACAATAAAATATGTTAAAACCAATAAGGTATTTAAAATTATTAAAAAAATATATTTCTAAAATGAATTGCTTACATTGACTTTGAATCTAAAAAAAAGAAGACATAATTTACACTTTAGAATAAAATTAAGTTATTATGAAATTTTTTTTTTAAAGGGTGGAATCCTCCTACTCTTCCTCCCTCCTTTAAGAAATCTCCATCAAGCATGTTAATCTGATTGTATAATAAGTCGATCTATGAATAGCATCTGGAAAATAATGCCATTTAAATTTTACATGTAATCTTTTCTTTTCATTAAGATCTTCTTAACAAATAATTGTTTAACCTTTAAATATTGACTGGAAACACCAAATGCTAAGAATAAGTACCCAACGAGAATACTTGTTGATATTTTTAGATCTTGCCTATGTACACGTGTCATAAGCACGTATATATATGAAATAAATGGTAAGGTTTGAAAGCAAGGTACCTCATATCTTAAGAATAGGAATTCATCTGAAAATCTACCTACAATTCACATCAAGAAAATATGTCCATTAAAGCGTTGTTCTGTCTTGGACTTGTTATCTGCGGAATGAAAATGGCGAATGGTATGTGTTACTGAATTTTAAAAGTATTAATATGTTCTATGTTATACATGATGAAGGTAAACGTATAATCCAACCGAATCTAATAAATTAACATTTTACAATATGTTTGTGACCTCTGTGGTAGTTAATGTGTTTAGGTCGTTGGATTAGATTTAGACATTTTAATGTACATAATATACACACATGGACAAGGGGAGAGGGGGTTCATATTATATAAGAGTTCTAAATTTCTTTTTCATAATCCTCTTGAAATGTACACCCCGATTTTATAAAGCGTTTCATAAAGTAATACAAAACTTTAAATTAATGTTACATGTAATCAATTTGTTTCTTTCGAACCATACTTTTTATTTTTAATCTATCTTAATGACTTTTCAGCGTTCATCATAATTACAGTTTGTAATTGCTCATGTCCGAAAATCAACAGATCATTGACTTTAAATTTTCGAATTTGCATGGGTATCTTATGACCTTAATGGTAGTTTTAGAAAAATCCTTCAATAGTATTTTTTAACACATAATTTCCATGGTGCGGGAAATTAAAATTAATATTACTTGTATAGTTTTGTTTAAATACGAGCGTGCGGGTCCGACGAACAAAACATTTTATTGGTGTGGCCTAATATTATTATTTAACCGCTTGCCCGCTCGTACTTTTTTTCATCAAATGTCCGACGAACAAGAAATAATTAAATTGGTGTGGCCTTTCATCTATCCTTACGAAGTACATGTAACTACAATTTACATTGTTTATGAAAATGCATAGGAGAATTTCTAGTTAGGCTATATTCAGATACAAACAAGATATCCCCATACATTTATATTGGAATCATCATCTTTCAAAAAGTAACATACATCCAAATTAATTTCGCTTGATTTAGCTGTGACTTTTTTCCTATTTTGAACATATTTTATTCCCTAAAATGTGAATGGGATTCGACGCTCTTCATCTGTCTGTTTTAAATTTACATTGTACCATCTTTTTTAATGATTTTGAAAGGATTCTACCGCAGTGTATTCTTTATTTTGATGTCCTCTTTCAGTAACTTGTTTTAAGTCTTCAATCTCTCTCCCTCTCATAGTTATAGACAAATCCAACAGAAATTTGCTGATCCACAATTTAAAATTCTTTATTTTAAAGAATATGACTCTTACATTTTATCGGAAATACTGCGTCCTTTTTATGACCTGGCCCCAAGACCATAAACTGAGAACAGATTTAAGTCAAAATTTCAAATCAAAATAACTTTTGAAATAATTTTGATAATGAAACAAAATTTTCATCATATATTTCAATTAAATTTTTTTACTAATCTGCATATTGTTAAGTACGTATATCAAATAAAACGCAAATATTCAAAATAGAAATTTTGACTTAACTCTGTTCTCAGTTTATGGTTTCGAGGCCTAGTCTTGAATTTAATCAATTTCCTTCAATTCAGGTCTTTTCAGTATTTACATAACACTGCTTTGTGGCTACAGTGTGTATACGGTCAGTAGGAAATGTATGGCATGTCAAACGTTGCAATATTCGATCTTTTGCATTTGCATTGTATAATTTTCCATTTGCATTGTATAATTTTTATTTGTATTGTATAATTTTCTATTTGTATTGTATAATTTTTCATTTGTATTGTATAATTTTTATTTGTATTGTATAATTTTCCATTTGCATTGTATAATTTCTTATTTGTATTGTAAAATTTCTTATTTGTATGCGATAATTTTTCATTTGTATTGTATCCGCGGACTGTTTATTTGTTTCGTTACGAAGGATTTCATTGGTCAAGTTTCAGCCTGTATCGGGTTGAAGATGTTCCGGATGCTCAAAGCAAACTGGGCTCATATGTATTTGCTTGATTGATTGATTGATTATTGTTTAACGCCGAGTCGGCAATATTTCAGCCATATTTCGGCGGCATATGTATTTGCGTGCATGTTAGACGGTCATTGGATTCTAAAAAGGGAGCGCTGGTAGATGGCAAATAAATAATCTGTCCTTAGGAATGCTGACTGAGAAAATAAATAAATTGACCTTGAGTGGTGGTAACTACCCCCACCCCCAAAAAACTGAGTTTTCGGGTTTGGGCGGATTTTCTTCTTTTTGTTTTTCTCCTTGTCTCTGGTCATATTGGAAATAAATATTCTCTCCTGCGAGAGAATGAAAATAAATAATCGGATTCGACACCCCCCGAGAATCAAATGGTCGTCCCTTAGCATGCATCGCAAATAGAGGAGCCGAGTTTGTGTTTGTAGAGAGTGCGCGATCGGAATTGTGGGAAGGGTACCAGACTAAGTTTGTGATGGGCACCTGAGACCTTTATACAGACTAAATTTTATGACCAATGACATCCTTCGTAACGAAATAAATAAACAATCCTCGGATACAATACAAATGAAAAATTATCGCATACAAATAAGAAATTATACAATACAAATAAGAAATTATACAATGCAAATGGAAAATATAGAATACAAATGAAAAATTATACAATACAAATGATTTTTTTACAACACAAATGGAAAATATAGAATACAAATAAACATTATACAATCCAAATGGAAAATTATAAAATCCAAATGGAAAATTATAGAATACAAATAAAAATTATACAATACAAAATGAAAATTATACAATACAAATGAAAAATTATACAATACAAATGAAAAATTATACAATACAAATAAAAATTATACAATACAAATGGAAAGTTATACAATACAAATGGAAAAGATCGAATATTGCAACGTTTGACATGCCATAGAAATGTACATTTTTTCCGCATTGGTTAATGTGAAGCGATTAAAGGATTGAAAGATCAAAAGATCTAAAAATAAAACCTGGAAATTCCCTATCGATATTGATATTATGGATAGTGTCTGAAAATGATTCACATCTAGGCACGTTTTGGATAATTGAGATGAACTGATAAGGGATAGAAAAAATAACCATATTTCAGATGTGATTGTTTTAATTTGAATAAAAGAGATTGTGTCAATACGAGTCATATTTACCTTGCAGCTGATAAACGAAAGTTTTTACTCTGAATATAACTTTGGCTGCATGTTTAATTATTAGAAAAAAAAAATGAAAATGTGTTTCTTAAGGACGTTATAGACTAACCCTAACCGTAATAAATTTTGGGGAAACAAACTATCAGAAGACCACAAATAATGGAAGTAAATTTGAAAAAATAAACAATGTATTGTAATATAGACATATCACAAAACCCTTACACAGTGGTAAGCTTAAATTGTTTCCTTTATAAATAGGTAATTTGGGCGATTTTCAAAAGGTATTGAAGAAAGCTGAGAATATCGCTAACGCATTTGGGATGTCTGGCTCTGGAGAGGTGAGTGTATTTCTTTTATTACAGTCTTACTTCTATTAAATTCTACTAATTATAAATTATTAACATATATGTTTCTATATAACAGATATTAAACGCATCAGAAACTTTGAGCGATGTCACGTGTGTATTCAACGCATCAAAACGCGTTTTGAATTTCAAGTAACATAGCCCTTTCCTTACGGTATATTTCGATGGGAAAAATTCTCGGCATATTTGACTATTTATACCTTAGAAAAATGAGTAGAAATAACTGGAATAGTACGCTTATTTTCGTTTATTTTATAAACAATTGTTTGTATATAAATGTAAGCATAGAAATAGTCAACAATATTTTACATAATTTTTTTTTAGTTTGTGTGCGAGAGTGAGAAGAAAATTTCGAAGCGTAAAATTCCTGTAGAATTCATAGTATCCCAAAACATGCATAATGCAACTCAATCTTCAAAGAAGAGAGAATTTTCTTTTAGCATCAGATCTAGAGAGTGAATTTTTTTCAAAAATTAGTTTTTTGGTTCTTTTAAGGTTTTTTTTTTTAAATTGTAATACTCCGTGAATGGGTCATAGAAAAATATTTTATGAAGAAAAAAAAGTTGAAGAACCCTTGGGGTACAGAATGGGGAGGCGGGTCCGTCCACAAGTACCTGTGAACCATAGTAGTAACTTCTTGAACCTTTTTCACGTTTTAGGTAGATCGTGGCAAGGGCTGTATTATCAGCTGGAACTTTAAAGGACAACTGATGGGTTTTGAGTACAAATACCTCGGAGTTTGTGTTGATAGATGTACAGGGGAGACAACCACATCGATAACCCAAAGTAAAGGGGGCGCAATTGAGCATTGTCTGAGCGATTTGTTCCAGAAGCTGTCGGCTAAACATGAATTATAATTATTTTTGTGCCTTAAATGAAAACAAAAGCCTGTCTCTCTTATTACAATTTATTTGAAATCTGTAAAACCTGTTAGTTATTTAAGGCATTAATAACAAATATTTGACTCAAATAAAAAAGTTTTACATATATATAAATTGTCACTTTTTTTTTTAATTAAAAACATTATGAATTTATTCCGCTTGAAAAGCAGATTTCATTTGTCTCTATACTCATGCCGATCGGCTTTTACTATCATGGTTAATCTATTATCGTATATATAGGCATAAATAATCTATTTTTATACATAAATGAATTTGAATTTAAACCTTCTTTGTTTTCTATGTCAAAAATTGGAGGATTTCGCAAGTCTTTTAAAGTCTGCTCCATTCATACTGATTTTTTATGGTTTTATAAAGTTTTCTATGGTCAGTTGGTTGACGAAAGGAATGAGTAATTTCAATTTGTAAGTTATCCGATTCTTTCAAAAGGAAGTAAGGTACAAAATGAAAAAAGATCGTTATTTACGTATGTCTTTGTTTAATCACAAAAGCTCATTTTCTCCCAATACAATGTTGTTGTGAGACCAATGCATAATAAATTTCGTAAGGAAATACGTGATTGTACATACCGACGTTTCACAAATGTTCCTCTTTCTGCCAACTCTATATATTACATGTACAGAATTTTTAATACATATTCCACAACTTTGCTATTTATCTATCATATAAAGTTATATGAAAAAAAAAAAAATAATTCTGAAAAAAAAAATGTTTCCTTGGTTTAAGCTCTCTCTGACTATACCTTTTACGATTGAATTTATCTGAGTGAATGCATTTTGAATGATTGATAAAATACTTCTATTTACAATTTTCAAGCAATAAACTACAAAGTATGAGAAGCCTGACTATTGACAATAAAGTACATGTAAATATATCAAAAAGGAATTTGTACATTTGGACGGATAGTAGAGGATCATCTTTGTACATTTGCTAACTCCAGTTTCTAGGTAAACACAATTTTACTTCATTAATACTTTTATATGACATTTGCTTAGTGAAGCCTGCCTTCACGTTTGAACCCTAGTTTTTGTTCGATTTTGTGAATCTGGAAGATTTTGCATTGCATGCCCAGGCCAGTTAAACTCTCTCCCTCTCTCTTTTCAAAGATTACGTTAAGAAAATAAAGGGAGTGGGTTGAAAGATTTTAATGTATCAATGACACATGAAGGCCGTTTCAGAACTTCGTAGTGAACATTGGTGTATTTTTTCCTTTCAGAAAAGAATTGGAGATGATGGTCAAGTCAACAACATGTAATACAGTGTATGTACATGTAGTAACACGTGTATCATCATTGTCAAAAATATATCGGCTTCAAAATATAATTGCCTTTTTTATATTTTTGTGTAAAACCCATAAAAATGAATTATTGAAAGTTATAACTATAATCAAAGTTTTAAGTACATGTATATTGTTGTTTTCACTGACGGTCAAGTATAGGGTATTTTTTCAAAATTAAACTTTAGGCATTTCATGTCATTGCAGAACTGATAATAATACAAAAGATATATGTAAATGACCGGATTTTGAAACAAATTTTATTCACTGCATAGATATACTAAGTGGTCTTTGATGTTTTAATTTCGTATACTCGCATTGCGGATTTAACCTGGACGACTCTGTTACTGCCGAACACCAACAAAGGCAGATAAGAAATAGCTTATCCAACCTACAGTGAGAAATAAAAAGTAGCTTAAAAAGTCATAGTGATCCTACATCTCATCGACCGGTTCAACATCTAACCTAGCGGTCTTGCATCGATTTTTTTTGACCGCTCAGGAAAACACTATAATTTTTTTTAAACTTTTTTAAAGCATAAATTTATACTGGGAACAATTTGCAAAGGTATAACAATAATATTTGTTGTGTTTTGATGGTTTCTATACCATCATTTAAGGAGTTATTTTTATACAAGACTTTTGCCAAAGATTGACAACTTATTTATTCAAGCCAGGTAAAATTGACAATGTTTCTTAATTCCTCATGTAAACTATCACAATCACAAAGATAACAAAAAGCTCTATCTTGATTACATATACATATATCACATACCATACGGTTACAAAGTAGTAGAAATGAAGGATCTGCTTATACATTATTAATAAAAAAACTGAAAACAGAAAAAAAGAGAAAAAGTCAAAGTTTCACAAGTGTTAGTGATAAACTGATAAAAAAAATTGTTTCAACAACAGAAATATAAAAGGTCCGTGGGCCACAACGCTCACCTGTGTAACTATGAACCTTCTTGTTCTTTTCCCGTTACATTCCTTTGTAGAACTTTAATTGCCCTTGTACCGTTACCCTACCCCCGAGAATCATGATTTGTATAAGCTTGAACCTACATTACCTGAGGATGTTTCCAACTAAATATGAATAATCATGGCTTTGCTGTTATTAAGAAGATTTTTCATGATTTTTCCTGTTTTCCTATGTAAAACTTTAATTACCCAATTGGCTACACCTTTTCCCCGGGGATCATGATTGAAAGAAACTTGAATTTATACTATGAGGATACTTCCATATCAATATGACTGCTCATGGCTTCTCTGTTCTTGAAAATTGATTTTTCTTATGTTTTCCTATTTAAAACTTTGATTTCCCCATCTCCGGGGGTCATTATTTGAAAAACAAAAATAATGTACTCTATGTTACAGTTGTAAGAACCTTCATTGTAAGTTTCATCTTTTCTGGCACAGTGGTTCTTGAGAAGAATATTTTTAAAGACCTATCCCAATTTTTACTTTTACTTAATTATCGCCCCTTTAGAAGAGGTTTTGACCCTTTATTTAAACAAACTTTAATCCCCTTCACCAAAGTCTGGTTGAAAATAACTAAGTGGTTAGGGGAAGAATATGAAATTACAAAAGGTTTATGACAACAAGGACGATGTCGGCAACAGCAGACAACGGACAAATTTTGATTAAAAAGCATTTTTGATCCCTCGCCTCAGGTGAGCAAAAAATCAACTATCCTTTCAGACCTTTGGTGGGGACTACAAAGCCGAGAAACTACCAACGTTTTACGGTTGTGAACCAGTTGTCTGTGAGTATTGAAACGGCTGTTGTGTACTGTTTCCTGAAGAATATTGTGTTGAGTAATTTCCTGTTGGATACAACGTGGTTGTGTTGCTCGACTGTTGTGTCGAATATGTGGCATATGGAATACCTGGTTGGTTTATTGCTTGACCTTGAAGAAATTTAATATAACTTATAAATATGCCAATGTTTCCTTGAAGAATACAGTTCAAAATTCTGGAAAACAGTATCTTAATAATAAAGGTTTTTAGGAAAAAATCTTATGCATCAAATATACTAAACAGAACTTCTGATAACTGTTCTTGAAGGGAATAAATATATATTCATATTTTTATTACAGTAAGGAAGACAAAAGTTAACAAGCATTCTGAGAGTATTGCATTAGCAATACCAGTCCCCTACCGGCAAGTGTAATCTGGTTCCCGTTAAGAATTGAAAATGCCATAATTCCGTCAAAAATTAATGAAGCGGGACGAAATGCAAACTTGATCTGTAACTAATCAAGGTAAAGCCACATACCAAAAATCAGCTCAATATCTACAAGCGTTTAGAAGAAAATTGCGGAAAACCCGTAAAAATTGAAAAGGCCGTAATTCCGTCAAAAATCAATGAAGCGGAACAAAATGCAAACTTGATCTGTAACTCATCAAGATACACTCACATACCAAAAATCAGCTCAATATCTGCAAGCGTTTGGGAAAAAAATGCGGAAAACCAAGTGGGACAGACTGACAGACAGACAGAGGGACAGACAGACAGACAGACAGACGGACAGACGGACGGACAGACTCAGAGGAAACCTATAGTCCCCTCCGGTTTCACCGGTAGGGGACTAATAAAATAGTACACCGTATACTTAGAAAATGAAATATACATACTAGACTTGATAAAAGCTAGATTTAATATTTCTCTTAGAATAAATAAATTAAACATAAATGCACCTGAGGTATTCTGAGTTGTTTCTAGTACTTGACCTCGAGTAGGTTTCCGTCCGCATAAACAGACACAAACTATACCTGTTAGTATTATAATTAGAACTATGCCGCCGAGCACGCCTCCTACGATTGTTCCAACGAGAATTCCAACTGCATTTTGTAAAAAAAAAAAAAATCAAATTACAAATATACAGATAATGACTATTGATTTAATATTTGTTAATTATTTCTGTCAACAGTACTACGATATTCAGGGCAGGCAGACAATTTAAGGGAGGAACAATACGGAACTAAGAAAAGACAATCGAAGTTCAAATATTCTTTTCTTTTGAAGGAAAATAAAACTTACAGTCCAAAACTTTTTCAGCGGTGACAAGCAGCTTGAAGCTAGCACTTGATGTTGATTTACCATCACGTCTCTTGAAATTGATATAAAGATAGTCCTCCTCTTTACCACAAAATCTAGTGTTGAAGTTTTTTGAACAAGTTACACTCTAAAAAAAAACCATTCAAAATTATGTTTCTATGCCAAACGTATTAAAATGATAACTGTAGTATCTAAACTCTTAACTACATTCACGAAATTTTAGGAAAAGGAGTTTTGTATTTTAAAAATTTAGTTTAGTGTTTTAAATTGTATTTAAATAAATAAACATGATAAAAAAAAATGAAAAACACGTTAACTGTCCTTGCATGAAATTACAAAATACGAACCTGTAAAGGTGTGCCAAAAAGTGTAGATGTATACACTAACTCTATGGCACAATCTGAATCGTTGAAATATTGAGGTGTAACACAGACTTTGTACTCGTCAGCGATTACATCTCCTTTTCCATGGAATGAGTAGTCATCGCAAAGGATACTAACAGGCTTCCCATGGTATTCAACAGAATATTGAACACTTTCATCCAATTCTTTTAAGAAAACCAAGCAAGTATCTCCAAATTCATCTGTAAATAATTCAAATGAAGCCCAAGTTAATTAAGTTGTGTTTAATTTCTTTTTATAAATGTAAATTGATATCAAAACTACGATGGCCAATTTGAGCCATCAAATTACATGTAAGAGTAATTCTATTGTGTATGCAGAATTAATTGTCTTTAATAGTAATACCAGTGTCATTCTGAACATGTACATCTTTGTCAATGACAAAACACTTTCAGTTGTAATATAAATTTGTACATGTACAAATTTTGAGTCAAAATACATTTGAAACTACTAAACAATCCTCAGATCAATTGGGGAGATTATCTGTAAACTTAGAAAGGCATTAAAACAAATACACATCTGCGTGGTTTTCATTTCATATTCTCCCTTTTTCTTTGGGGGGGGGGGGGGGGTTAATTAATGCTGTAAACCTAATTTTTAATGATATTAAAGAGAGCAAGACTGCTTTTACTTTCATATACAATGTACGTGGTCTGAGATCACAACTTTCGGATTTTTTCATGAAAGAATATTTTGTAAGTGTCTTTATTCAGATTCCTCTGTCTTTGTTTGAAGTTAACTTCTTTCACGACAACTTAGTGTTAACGTAGGTCGCGGGTTTGCTGACGTCGTTAAAACTGAGTACTACGCAATTTATTAAGGAATGTTTTTCAGTTGTGTGTGAGTTATTGGTGTGTAAATCACACAGACTTGTCACGTAGGCATATTTCATGAAGCGCGCTAGCGCTTCATGAAGAATATGCCTACGTGCAAGTCTGTGTGATTTACAAACCAATAATTCACACACAACTAAAAAACATTCCTTATATTTACATTTTACATGTTTAAAAGCAGCAAAAATACACTCATTGTTTGAATTTCGCACTGTCCTATATCTTTATAGTTTTAATGACTTCTCTTTAGCCTCATTGTGACGTCACTTTAACGCGAGTTTCTCCGTGTATGTTTCTACGCGTGAGTATACACAAAAATGACATTCACAGTTGGCTTAGTAGAAAAACACAGCAAATGTAAATATTATGATTTGGGCGACTTTCTTATGCACATTTGATAATGACGTCACAATGATTAAGACAATTGTTTTTTAACACTCTTCAATACAACAAACTTAAGTTATCACAGATAGAAAACTTTTTAACGATTTTTTTTAATGTTCGAAAATCGAAAGCGTTTATTTATCATCACTTTGAGACCACAACAGTATCACGAAAAGATATGGAACAACTAAACAAGTGTCAACTGCATGGTTATTTTTTCCTTTGACGTATTTTAATTAAAAGTTTGTTACACTGATAACCGTCATTATATAAACAACCGCAATTACAGCTGTTATAAGAAAAGTTTAAACTTTATTTATAAAAAGGAAATTTTAAAAATACATGTATATCTATATCACAATTGAAAAACTGCTCAAGTATGAAGCATAAAGCATAAAACGACACAGACCTTCATTTCCATTTACCTCTCTCAAAGTGTTTCGTCCGATGGCTTTTTATGTTTTTTTTAAATTCTTTTCAGAAATTATAAAATCAAGGTAAAAGTTTAGGAGGTATTCCCCATTTGTATGCGAAAAACCGAATAAAGAATTTAAAAAAAAGGTGAGGAATGCAGTGTAAATGCACTGTATCAATACAGATATGTATAGAGAATTAAGGCAGTGATGTTTAACTAGATTTAGATACATCTATTATCATAGAAAGATTTGAACAAAGTAAAAGTACTGAGACGAAAAAATTAAAGCTCCAAAATTACAACGTCTCGGAGCTAGAGGTACTTGTGTTTTATTTCGCCTGATTAAAAAAGGTCGCTGGCAGACTTATGAGGAATTCGTGCCAAAGAAAAAAGGGATATTAATTCGGTATGAATCTGAGGAGGGGCGTGCCCCCATAATTTTTTCAATGTATATAAATTACTTTAGAAAATCGAGCTGATTTACAGTTGTTGTTCCCCTCGATAATAATACCAGTACATTAAAATATCATTAATATTAGAAAAAGAGCTAATTTGTGGTTGTGCCCCCTCAAGAATGTCTTCAGGCCCGTAGAATGCAAGGGGGCGGGCTCCCCACTGTTTTCTGTGAATAGTCTTTTGCTACAGTAATTCTTTTAGATGCATGCTGGATACAACCCCCCCCCCCCCCCACACACACACACACACATACGTTTTTTGTTGCTGTTAGGTCGAGCCTGGCAAATCCAGGATTTGGTCAGCTTATTAGTTTTTTTTTAAGTTACCCCCTCCCCTTTTCGAAACTGTTGCTACGGGCCTAAACTTGTCCGTATCTGTTAGGTTGTGCCCCCCACGAACTTAAAATTGTATCCTATGTTCCTGTGTATTTTGGTATCCTCAAAAGAAACGATCATCAAAGACTAAATTTAAAAAAAATTACACCATGTTTTGCAAATACTTTGACAATATCGAACGGTGTCGAGAATGAAAAATCTGACGCTGAAAAAGTTCGGTGAAAATTTGTGATCTTTTCATACAAAACACGAGTAGTTCTTGGTTCCTTTTTTTAAATTTACCAACAGAATGGGATTTATTTGGAAAAACGCTGCATGACGACATGTGGTGATACCACAGCGACATCCTGTTAAAAGAGCAGTTGTATGCAGCGTGTGTACTCGCATAAGCTTACCAATGTGAAAATTCTGTATACGGGCCATTTGAAAGCACTTGATATACGTATCACAGGCATCGGAAGCAAATTACTTTAGAATACAAGTGTGTTGGCGGTCCAAACTTCGTTGATCGGTATTGAATTAAGAAAAAGTCTATTTGTTAGCACTTCACGTGAATATTACTTATTTAGGATTTATATCAAGCAAAATGGAATTATATCAAGCAAAATGAAACGAAAATTAGTCTTCGATTTAGGAGAAAATTGGACATATAACATGTAACATTTCAACTCGACAGAGAATAGATATATATTTGTTGAAAAAAGATTATTTACCTCATCCCCTACCACATTTGCTCCTGTATCTAACCACTCAACATTTTCTTCCCTTATGTTTTGGCGATAACCCATTTTCTTACTTGTCAGAAAATTTTGAACTTTTTTTTCTAATTTAATATCTAATTAATATTCGCTCCCCCATTGTTTCTGAATCACGCTAGGACTACTGCACCTAAAAGCCCCCCTCCCCCTCAGCCTTCTCTCTCTCTTTCCTTTAGTTACAGCTTAAACAAGGTGTTTTAGACAAGATACATTGTTAACTCATACCTCTGTGCTTATTTTAGATATAAATTATACATTGAATAAATAAAAACAAAAATTTCTTTCTTTCTTTGCTTTTCTGCACTTTATATCGGACCGTATTCACAACGTCAAGCGTGGCGTCGTGATAGTTTATAACGTCACTCTTAAAAATGTTACATTTTGCAATGTAAAAAAGCAATTATTCGCATTTAAATTACAAGAAAAACTAACTCGAAGACATATTAAGAGCCATTCTCTGTAATGACTTTAACTTTTATATAGGAGCTGTGGCACGCATATTCTCAGAATTTCTCCAAACTCTCTATGATAAAAGTATTTGATACCGTAAACTCAAATCAGGCAAAAATTGGTTGCTACGTGTAATGGTTACCATAGCAACATGTCCTAAAATTTGAAAAATGACATTTTCCAACTTGTTCAGAGTCCCACAGTTAATGTTTGCAGCAAAGCAAACAAGTGGCAATGACTGTTTCTGAAAGTTGAAGGCCTGATGTCTTAAATGCATGATAAACATGCTTGGTAAATCAACTATTACATACGTTACTATGGAAACAAAGTATTCAAAAGTAATAATTTTGTTCATTTAATTTTATAAAGTCATACACCTAAGATTAAAAATAATAATAGGTTGAAATGCATGCAAATAATAGACAAGAGATCCTTGTAACATATACAGTACCAACCAGACCCAACCTGACACCAAAGCAGTCCCCGGGACTGCTTTGGGACCGCTCTGGGACTGCTGTGGGACTGCTCTGGGACCGCTGTGGGACTGCTCTGGGACTGCTCTAGAAAGCAGACCCAGCAGTCCCAGGGACTGCTTTTTGGGACTGCTTTGTTCACTCATGCGTGAGAAAGGTTCTGAGTGACATGATAGCTCCGCCCCTTGTGTATTCTGAATTTGCAGCTCCTTGTTGTTGTTTTGTTTACTTTCTGCAGAGAGTTGTTTAAGATAAAAACAAATATACAAAAACAAGTATTAATTTCTTACAAAATTTAAATAAATAGAGATAGTTATACATGTAATTACTAAATGTCTTCAGAGGGCTATAAATTTACACAATTGTAGTCTAGAATTAATTTTAAGAAAATAAAAGTACCGTAGTTAAAAAGGGAAGTCATGGGAAGATTTTAAACTTCAATACAGGTGTTTGAAAATTTTTTTTATCTAGGCCTATTTAATAAATTAATGCTGTCAAATTACATACATGTATGTACTCAAAGTTTGCATTAGCACTATTTAAAAAAAAAACAAAAAAAAAACAAACAAACAAACAAATAAACAAACTTGTCATTTCAGTAAGATACATGTATTTAGAGGAACGTACTGTACTGGATTTTTTTTTCTTAATTGAAAAAGCTAATACAATGCTTAAAAAAGAGCACTCCAAATAATTTATTTAATGGCCATGAAATAAAATTATTCTACCATTCTTCTGTTACATAAACAATGTGAACAATTATTCGGGATTTATTTGGCTTATTCCCCGAACGGCTACTCCCCAAAATCAACATCTAATTATCACACCCAATTAAGGGGCCCTCTAAGGGGTACAGGTAGACTTACCTGTATGAATAAACTACCTGAATTTCAATGCATATAAACAGAACAATCTATCAAGTCATTTTTAGTTCAATATAACCTGTAAAATGTTGGGTTTTGTTTGTTTGTTTTTAATTTATTTACCTATTTCATTTATTTATTTATTTATTTATATTTATTTTTTATGTTAAATAATTTCTATTTCTATCTAAGGGTATAGAGTTAAGGTATTTCTACCCTCACAATTTATGGGTTTTAAAGTAGAAAAACTGCATTTATTTTCACTGAATATCGTTTAAATTAATCAATAACCGCAAAAGATATATAAATTGCCATATTTTTTCTAAGACGTAAGACATAAAAAACAAAAGTGTATGTTCAAGGAACCATTTTACATTAGAAATACAATAAATAAAATGCCTGAATGAAGATACATGAGAAGGAGTTCGTGCCCTGACCAACATTTTTTAAAGAGTGAATTGTTGATCAAATAAAGAATGTATTCATTTTTAAAATTATTTTTCTAAACATTTTTTTCTTACGCCAATTGAAAAGCATTCTTCCAAAAGATTGGGTAAAAATTTAAATTAATAATTAATTCACAGTTTTGGCAGAAACATATGACACCACAGGAAAGTGGAAATACCTTAACAAGTAATTATAACTTCCAGGCATGAAGTTTCCAAGCTCTCTCCCCCCACCATACACTTTTTTTCAAAACATAACAATATACTATTGAAAATGTTTACTGAAAGGCTGCCCCCCCCCCCCTTTCCACACACACACACACAACTTTTTTCTTGAGGAAGTTAAGTCATGGAGAAGTTGGACCCCCACTTCAAAAAATTTGAGAAAAAGTTGTACCCCCACTTCAAGGTCAAAAAATTCCCCATAATAGTATTTAACATTTTGAAGAAAAATTATTAAAGGTACAATAATATTAAAAGTGCAATAATGCAAAGCAATGTATAATATATGTTTTGATAATATTTTGAAATTTTAAATTTATTTATCAAATCTTGGGTTTTTTGAAAATATTTTTTAATGGAAAAACATGAAATTTAATATTTTTATTTGATTTATCAAATATTGTTTATCCAGGTAAACACAGGTAAATCTACCTGTACCCCTTAGAGTGCCCCTTAATTGGGTGTGATAATTAGATGTTGTTTTTGGCGAGTAGCCGTTCAGGGAACACACCATTTATTTATGAAATTAGTTTTTATAAACAAGTTATTAAAAGAGTACATTTATTTAAAAAATATTTATAAAAAATTAAAAAATAAACATTTGAAAATATCGGGAATTGTGACTTGTTTCTTATTTCTTTTGTTTGTGTTTACCTGGCCGGTTAATACAATGGGATTGTATAAAATGGTGTCAACACCTGAGGTTCAATTGCCTTTGGGCATAATTAACAGAAAGTCAATGCATGTTATTTGGGTATCAGTGTTACACATCACTGAACACGCTGGTCAACATTGACACTAATTTCAATCTATGTCCTGCAAAAAATCTTAGTTTCAATAATTGTGTATAGATTTATTTCAGGATTAATTAATTTTGAACATAATCTGAGGGTTCCATTTGCATGATTTACAGATGTACACTCGAACATTTATATAATAAAACACTTAAAACTGAGAATCTAAAGATAATTAAATTGGGAAGTAATTGAAAATAATCATGACTGAAATATAATACTCGGCAATGTTTAACAAAGAATTTTTCAAAAGCTCCAATACTTAAGAAAAATGCATTCAGAGTATAGTATGGGAATCGGCCTTGCTCTATAATTATTATTTTCTATTTAAAGCTAATTCTGGTATAAAATAAACAATTCAAGTTTAATTTTCTATATAAAAAAATAAATATGTTCATGTTATTAATAGGTGTGAACGTCTTCTTCATTCAATAATTATAATTTGTTTCTATACGCGTACTGTGATTTTCTTTACAGTTCAGAAATGACTGTCGCGTAAGAATTGTAAATATTTGTTGATACTACTCAGAAAGAATTGCTCATCAATTCCAACTGCCTTTTATATAGTTACATTGTTTATTGGTAATCTCATTCTGAGTAAGCTCCGCCCATTAAATTAATTAACCCCGCCCACTGGGACTGCTGGGACTGCTTTCTGGGACTGCTTGGACTGCTTTCTGGGACCGCTGGGACTGCTGTGGGACTGCTCTGGGACCGCTTTGGGACTGCTCTGGGACCGCTGTGGGACTGCTTTAGCAGTCCCAGAAAGCAGTCCCCGGGACTGCTCTGGTTCTGCTTTGTGTCAGGTTGGGTCTGGTTGTTACTGTACCAAGGACGAAATATGATATTTCTTATAGGTTAGCAATGGTTTCCATGGTTTTAATACCACAAAGGGATTTTAAAATTTGCTCTCTTATCTCTTATCTTATCCTATCTTTTTAAAAAGCATATTTATATATAACTGAGGATAAATTTTTAAAGGCGTTGGTGTGATCCTAATTTTCACATTTCAAAAAATTCAAATTCAACTCTTTAAATAGAGCGTTGCTTTGGAAATAAGCTGAAAAAATATGCAAAAAAAAATCTGAAAAATATTCTGTTTCCTTGGATACGTACCCTTGTATGTAGATTCCAAAAAACTTTTATGATTGATATATATGAACAACTAACCTGACTTTCATTTTTGACTACCACCCAATCTCTAACTGGATGCAAAAAGCTGGCTCATAGGATTTTATATTGATATAAAATTAACAAAATCGAACATTTTCCCTTCTTGGTAACCATAGCAACAGTGTTGTATTTTTCAACAAACTTTATCAATATATGATATTCAACTATAGTTCTACCAGATAAGTACTATTCAAGGTGAGTCAAATAATATGTTTCTTGATTTAAAGGTAAGTAAATTCCTAAATCAGCAAAAAATATCACTTTTAACAACTGGTATGTTATTTCCATGGTTACACTGCAAATTAACAATTAATCCCAATTTTTCTTATTTTGTCGGTGTTGCAAGGTCCTAAGGATGTATATGTGCCAGTCATGAAGTTTATTGTTTTTCCTCAAGATAGTAGCATTAACCCAATCTTAGCAACAGATTTTGCATGGTTACATTGTTACCATGGCAACCATGAAAGATATTTTTAGAATAATATTACCAATACCTAATTACTTAAGGTCAAATATTTTTATTGGTTTTTTTTTTTTGGTTGTTGATTGAGTTGGCCGCGACTGACCTAAGTACATTAAAAATAGGTTGCAACTGTTCCTTCGCCAAGCGCTGGGCAATTTGAAGTGAAAGTTGCGGGTCCTTCGGATGAGACATTAAAAGCCGAGGCCCCGTATCACGGTAGGTGCTCGTATGGAAAAAAATCCCTCACTCCTCATGGCCCTGAGTGCCGAGTAAAGGTAAAAATTTGTGCTCTCCCCCGGCAGGTGGTAGCGTCTCCATATAAGTGAAAAATTCTCGAGAGGGACGTTAAAAAGAAAAAAAACTAAAAAAAAAAATAATAAAACAACAACAACCAATAAATCAAAGATAAAGAACGTCTCTGTTGATAACTGTGGCATATTATCAAGAAAGTTGGTAGAAGATACGTAGTTACGGAAGCCGGTAGGTGCCAGGTAGAAAAATATTTTATCTGGCGGCCGCCAGATAAAATATTTTTTCTACCTGGCACCAACCGGCTTCCGTACGTAGTTACTGTAGACTATAGCTAAAGTATTATTTTTCTTTAATAATAAAACATGCATATTAACTTACAAGTAATAGTTTCCGTCGCAACAACTTCTGAAAAAATTATAATTACAAAAAATCCACACCCTACTGCCAATCTTGCTAGCTTCATCCTGTCAGATCTGTTAAAAGTGAATATATTTTTTTATCATATTTTATATTTTCTTTAAATTCATTTTCTTAAAATACAGAAATTACCAACCTCTCTCTGAATTTGCTATGTTTTCGTGTAATTGTACCTTGACATCGTAAAACGAACATTGCGAAATATCTACAAGTTGATCCAGAATTAAGAGTTTATACATATCTTAACCTCAATAAATACTTTGCTTAGATATTTTTGGACATTTTTGGTTGGGTGAACATCTACAAAACAGCGACTACGGATCTTTAGTGTGGATCGTATTATGCATTTAAACTAGTGTTGTCAACGTAACCCGGTTATTAACACCAGTCTTGCCGTCCAAAGATGCGAGTATCGGTTAGTAGATCTGTCACCCCATTCCTCATATATTATATAGACATTTTACTGCTTAAATAAGTAGAAAATAAACGTTGTTTTGTTTTTAAATGCATAATTTCATGTCATCCAATTCATTTACCGTTAGTCTCGATCTAGAGTTTCACAAATGCAATTCGTTTTGATTATTTTCCAGGGGATTATCTAATTAATGGTTTAGATTTCCGAGGGCATACAGACTTAAATAAATTATTACCTTATTAATTACTTGATTTATCAAGACAACAAAAGCCTGGAAATATTTTAAAAGAAATGCGGTTTTAAAATCAATAAACTGAATTCTGAATATCTCGCTAGCAAGGATGTTACATGTAAGCGCTGTAATGAAAAAGCATCCGAATAACCGGGTACACGATAAGAAAAAAGCTTACTAAAATAGTTCGACTTGACATCATTTTGGTAAATCACACACGTTTTGATTTATTCCACCATTCTGGAGATTAAGTAGGGCAAAATTAAAATCTTCTATGAGGATATTTTCTATTCCTTGTCATAATTAATGATAAGAAGTAATAATTCTTTAACTGAGTCATTACGCTAAGTCATTTATGGATTTTACAAAATTTCCACACACGGTAATTTGAATTTTCAAAATATGTTTTTCAAACAGCTACGTATCAAACACTCTTTCCATGTTTCAAAATATAAAACTTATTTATTGGATTAATTAGATCTTAAGTGATCCAAAAGTCTTTAGAATTCATTCATAACATCCCATTTCCAATTAAGTTTAGAATATAATTCATTTTCAGCATCATGAAAAGCGGTATATAAATTAAGATGTAAGAATACAATTATTTGTAAGATGTACTTAAAACTAGAGTTTCATATCTAATTATTTATATAACCATTAGCTAACGACCTAATTTTCGCTAAACCATACAACAAGCAAACCCTTTCACTCCAAATACGTTTCTAAGAATTTATTTCAGATTAGTTGTAGAATCTCCAAGTTTTGCAAGCATAACTTAATGCATTTGAATGTATGTATATCTATACTCATCAGGGAAAGATAAATAACAATGGGAATACGGTTGGGAATACTTATTTCACCCAACATTCGATCCCCGAATTATCAACTGTACAATAATTCTTGTGTGAATGGTGTAATAGTGTGTATAACTAGGGCAATGCAGTTCTTTGGGCTCTATATAAATATATTCCAAAATCAGTTCAATCTATAGCACACATTGCAGATGACAATCATAAGATAAACATGTCGAATTTTCCTCCATTGCAAAACAAGTTCCAACGTTAATGAAGGTGTTAAGCCTCAGTTCAGAGGAGGACACATAACCTCTGATAATTTTCATTAGACAAAATAACTTATTAAAAATACACGAATTCCTAGTCTATCATAACTGTATGCCAATATCTGATATTATTTTCGGTTTTGTGGTTAAGTTTTAGAGATCGCCCCTTCATGATATATAAAAAATACTAAAAGCAAGAAACACAATCTTATAAGCAAAAAGGATGTCCCGTTTCGCTTGTGATTTTCAATGTTAATATAGCATTTGTGCAAGAGGCGGATCAGGGTGATAACTTTTGACAACTCTCTTCTCTTCACATTTAGATTTTGAAATATATGGAGATAACGAACAGTATTCAAGCTCTTAAGTCCATTTAAGAATACAAATATTGGAGCAGAGCAAACACGGACCTTTCAAACATCGGAGGTGGGATCAGGTGCCATTGAGGAGTGTGCATCCCCAGCCGACCGGTCAAACAGACATGATATTTTATCAATTTTATTCGTATTAGTTGTTTCATTTTTTACAACATTGTTTCCACACTTTTTTTTATCCATAGTCGCTAATAGCTGTAGACGTTCACCCATTAGAAAATATCCATTAAACTGGTATTATAATAGTAATATCTTAACTTTTGGACAGAATTTATATAATTCCAAAACTTTTCACAAAAAAAAATTACAAATTGAGGGAAAGTTTATTTTACCAAATTAAATAACATCAACATTATCTTTCAAATTCCTTCCATTCCTCCCCTTTTTTCTATTTTATTTGGTTTTCGAATATTAGTATTAACGCTTAACATAAAATAAGAAATAATGAGTCGTAAATATACATCTGTAATCACATACTATGATATAGTTTGTGATAACAGATGCATAATAACAACTCAATATCCATATGTCATAATAACAAGATTCATAACAACTCAATATCTATATGTCATAATTCATTCATATTTAGACATAGATACCAGTATCTTTTCTTCTCGTTTTTAAGGACATACGCAACGTACCTTACCTACTGATAATTTTTCGAGATATTCTTAATTAAAGATTGTAGTGCCATCAGATGTTCGTAGACAAAAAAATCAGTATGCGTTACCAGGGGTTTTGAAATGATATCAATTGATGAAAATTCTGGTATAATTCAAAGAAATATATACAAAAATTACTACACATATATTCTAGATGTTTTGTTTATCCAAAATTGTTTTAGAAAAAGTGTACAATAGCATATATAGACATTAAAATGTAGCACACAGTTCCTTTAAGTATTGGAACTCTTCAACCCCAGGGAAAAAGACTATAAAGTTCAAACTACGATGCGTATGTCCTTAATAAAATGTATTTTCCCTTCAGTATACAAATTCACCTGTTTGCATATAGTTTCTCTGACATATACTCTGTATATTTGACCATTTGCAAAGTTGATTTATAAGTATATGAGCCTTACTTTCATCACTTTGAACTAATGTACTTCTACGGAGAATTTTTTCTGTTCATTTTCCGATGAATGTTATGTCAATTTTAGTAGCCGAATTACTTATCATTATTCATTTTGATAGAGTTGTTGTTAGTGTTTGTCATTCCAATAATTGAATAAACCCGACTTTGTTATAAACTAATAGTCTCTAAAACGTACGACAATGTTCTTTTCATGATTTAAATTCAGCTTTTGTAAATCTTTTGTTTCTCTCCGTTTGCTTTAAAGGAAATATTTTAATCATATGTTTCTATTTTCAAATTATACAATAAAAATTCTTGTTGAGAAGAAAAAAGAAAAATATTCAAATAAATTATCAAGCGAGGTAATTGTTGTCCATGGGTAATGCCGGGGATGGCAAGGGATATAACTCTGCATAGAAGCACGTGTTTTACGTTTTTTATTTGTAAAGAAAGAATTTACATTGAATTTAGTACAAATTGAAAACCAAACTAGAAAAAAAAATGTTATGTAGGTTATGAAAATTAAATGATAAGAAGGACCTTAGACTAAGTTTTCCTGATATGAGTGTTATTATCACATTCTCAAGTATTTCGTCTGCACATAAAACTTATACAGGGTATTAACAATGTTAATTGTCAGAAGTTGTACGTATATTTTAAGGTGTATCGACAAGCAAGTTCATTTCTAGATTTATTTAACCTGAAATTATCTCTTTCTAATATTCCATTGCACTCCACTCGACGTGTTACCGTTGACCGTTTGCTTACTGACAACAAAGCAAGTTTCTGCATGCTTTATGTGTAATCGCTTTTAAAAATTGCACGTGCAGATTTTCATAACTCACGTAATCGATATCTTAGTAAATCATTATAAAGACAATAAAGCATAACGGGGAATTCTTTATTTTTTTAACACTTAAAAGAAAATTATACCCGCCTTGTGTAATACAGGCTTTTAGATCCGCTCCCAAGAATCGTGTAATTTTCCAATAGATATATTTCTACGCACCTGTCGGCATGTAAATTTCTTGCACAATTTTTTGAGTTAGCTAAATAATGGGTAAGTACATGAAAAGAAACATGTTTTTCGCTGAAATTGAATTATAAGCATTGACTATATAAATTATTTTGTTCATTGAGAAATGAATCTAAAAAACGAATCGTTTTTTAGATTCATTTCTCAATGAACAAAATAATTTATATAGTCAATCCTAAAATGATCAAACAGAGCTAAATTTTACGAATTTGGTCTTATTCTAAGTAAACTTGTTTCCAAACACAAAAAAATCTTATAAATATTTACACCAATGCGTTCATTAGCAAATTCCTCATTTTAAAATAAAACGTATGTTGTACATTGAAAAAAAAATCAATACAATGAATTATAAAGAAAGCAAAGTATTCCATTCTATGATAGATGTAAAAAGTTCGATTGAATAAAATAAGTTATTTCAAGTTGATAACAGATTATCATTTTTTTTAAAATGACAAAAGTAAAGAACATAACTGTGTCCGATCTTTCAAATTCTGTAAATAATAATTAAAAGGCAATAACACGGACGCTCCGGAAACAACAGAAGTGGGACCGGTTATTTAGGAGGGGCCCCTTGTATTGATCAAGTAAACAGAATAATCATTAGTCTAAATGAATGTAAAACAATTCCATAACAATTGGTATGAAAGACGCGAGTCATGCCACTCACAGTGGAGATTCTTTGAAACCCATAAACATGTATGTATTTTACCTGCTTTGAAAGGTCACAACATCTAGGCCAGCTTTTGACATATGACACCATTCAAATAAATATTTTGCTTTTTAATTTTTACATGTGATATAGTATTAATAATGTGTACATCAATAATAAGGTAGAATTAATTTAACTGTCTACAT